TTTCTTAAATTTAATAAAGGGAAAACTTTACTCAAAATGTATCATTTGATAGAGGGAGAATAAACTGACTCCAGTCATGTCCTTTACTTTGAAAATTATTTATATAAAAAGAGCATTAGTTGCTCATTATAATTGGTCTCTTATATATGTCTTTCATGACTTTCAATTTTTCAGAGAGAAAATTAGGTAGATGACCACTGAGATATACAGGTTTCTGGAGAATTTATTTCTCTACAAAATAATGTACTTGACTATAGGATAACTACTTTCTCTGGATATGATAAGATCTTGTCTTTTCAAGTGTATTGTCGAACGCACAAAGAAAAAGAAATTCTTTTTTTCGTTGTGTCACTTATTAGAAAAGGTTCATTATCTTTTTTCCTTCCAATCAATGTTTGAAAAACAAATAACATAGATCGAAGCTTGTGTAACAAATATCTAATCTGATCTAAATGGTTCAATGGTAAAACAGAAAAAGCAATCAAACAATGTCTATCAGTTTCGTCGGAATCTGTTTTAACATGTGCTCTCTCATAATTATCTCTCCATATTGTGGAGTACTCGTGCACTTTCCAGGGGTCTAGTACTACGGGCAGTACTGAGACAGCATCCGTTGGGGTTCAGAAGCTATCGTATCTCTCTCTCTCTCTCTCTCGAGCTAGTTACACGTTTGTAGCACTCTAAACATTCTTTATATTACGGGAAAAGATCAAACAGCAATCATTAATACGACTAAAATAACACATTTTGAACCATGGGACGTCAGATCGTATCACTAAATGCAAACTAATTGTTCGACAAATTACAATAATACCAAATAGAGGTTGCAGCACTAGCTAAGACTAATATGCCAGATTCTAATGTTTGTCTAGTGAATGGTTACACATTGATGTACTCGAGAACGCCGACTCAAGAATGCTCGAGGACTGATTATGGCATTGCTGTGTGTCTAGTTCCATGAGCAACTTGTGCTTTGGAGAATTTTGATTCCACTTGAGAAGCAGTTAACTCGAGAATGGTAATGGTTCCTACTGTATGACGGGCCATATATGATTAGTGTCATAGCTGTCTATGTAGCTGTAAGTTCTTCGAATTGTTTAAAAACTAGCATTGAGGTCTGTAATGAGTTTTATAAAGCTCTTCAATCTTCTATTGGCAAAACTACTAAAAGCAGTATCATCCTGATAATGGGAGGAAGTCAAAACGATCGATGTCTAGTCGAATTTTGTTTGTTTGCTGAATTCATTGTCATCAAAACGTTCTTTCCATACCAATCGGTGCATAAAACAACATGAATGGATCAGAGTTACCAAAATAATTCTTAGGAATGGTTTACATCAGATATGATGGATATTGTGGATAAGAAAGCCAAAGATTACGTTCATGGCAATTTCATCATGGTATGAAAGAGGAGATTCAGCATGGAAATCAATGGCGAAAGTTGGCCAAACTATTTAAGAACAAGGTAGAAGCTAGACAGTGCGAATATTGTGAGGAATTGAGTGTTGATATTGAAAATACAGTGAGAAATCACGGTCCGACAACTGCATTCCAAATAATATGACGCTTCCGTAATAGTGATGCAAATACGAAACATGTAACGATTCACAACGAAGATGGAAATGCCTTAACAAACTGCAAAGATTGGTTAAATAGGTGGAGAGAATAGTTTGATGAAATGTTCAAGGTAAAATCTATGATTGATGAACAAACATTCCAACAGATTACGTGTCCTTCCATTGACTAAAAGGAGCTGTCACACCAGAATGCTATACCGACTATTGATGAAGTAGTGAAAGGAATCCAACAGATCAAGAGTAGGAGAACTCTGAGAAAAGATGGGAATGTTTGTGGAAATTCTGAAACCCGACGATCTATCTGTAGTCGAATAATTATATGAAATCATACATGATTTGTGGAAGCATGAGATCAGAGTAAAGAATGAAATAATGGCTGTCCTGATACAATTATATAAGAATAAGTATGATAAATGGACTTGCAACAACTACCGAAGTATATCTTTGCTTGTTGTAACAGAAAAAGTATTTTCTCGAGTCTTGTTAACCCGTATTCACAGCATGCTAGACAGAAAGTTACTAAAGAAATAAGTAGGATTCCGTTCTGGCAGATCCACAATGGATCAAATGTTTACGTTAAAAATGGTTATAGAACGCGTAAGAAAATTCAATTAGCTATTGCACATGTGTTTCATCGACCCTTAAAAGATCTATGATTCAATTGACTCTGAAGCACAATGGTGAGTATATCGTGCATACACATGTCAAGTTTGAAGTTTTCATTCTTAAATGGATTGAACCAATGTTGCGCTGTAGAAATGGAGAGTACATCGTTGCCCATCGTGCTGCATATATATGTTGCTTGCTTCTTCTGTTGCTATACGACCCAAAACGAAATTTATGAAGTAAAAGTACTCGAAGCTCTCTACAAGTAATCTCCATTTCTAATTCGAAATTAGCTTCTTACTGGTAGTTTTGTTGTTGTTCGCAGGATATTCGTGTCCCCTATATATATACCCTATGTATGGCAACTTCTGGAAGCTTTGCGAATATTTTAGAGGATTAAAAATAAAAAAAACGCAAGAACTTTGTTGACAACCTAATAATAAAAATAAGATTTTATAAATTTATTGAAAAATAAAGAAATGAATAAAGTCTTGAAACAAAAAGAAAATATATTTTCGATAAAATATACAATGCACAAGGAATTGAATAATTTCGTGATCACTAATTAAATATAATGAGCAAGCATTGCCATTCTTTAATAATTCAACTGTTATGTATTTTCTTGAAGGTAGTTTTTCTTGCTATTTAAAAGTCAATTCTTTTTGTTGAATATTCAAAAAATAAATAAAATCCTTTTTTACAAGAAAAAACAGAGAAATATCTAACTTTTCTGTGTAATGATGAAGCTTTTTTTTTTACAAAAATTAATAAGAGTAAAATAACTTTAGAGAAAAATGAATGATAGATTATTCAATGAAACTGAAAAATGTGACTACAAATAAATATAGAATATTAATTAATATGCAAAAAAAAATTAGACAAATGTTTTCGAACGCAAGTCTATCTACAATCATCTAACAATTTATAAAAAAAGAAACTAGATAAACAATAAAATTATGTATCTGTAGCGTCGTCCATGTATGTATTTTTAATTGAAAATTACAACGATTTCTAACAAAAGTCGTTATTTGTTTTTTTTTCCATTACTTTTCACAATCAATCAGAAAAGCACTATTTTATTGCAAAACTTTTATCTAAATGTAAGAAATAAAACTAGAACAAATTTTGATTATTATATTTAAATCAATATAAAATCTTACTGAAGAAATTAACAATTAAAAATGAAAAATTATTTTTTCTTTAAAATCACTGGCCAATAAAATCTTATAAAGTACTTAATAAATAAGTAAAAGAGAATAAAGCAGATAATTCATTAAAACAGTTTCTTGCTATCTTTCATTTAAAACTACATCACCTTTCTTTATTACATAGTTCATTTTATTTTTGTGCATTCAAGTACATAAGCAGTTAGCTAAATATTCTGAGAAAAAACTCGTATGAGTACTATATGGAGTACTCATGCTTTGGTCTACGAGTAAATCCTATAGTAAAACCTCATATGGGTACTCGCAAGGGTACACGAATAATAAAATTATACATAAAATTTCTCGAGCACGCGCGTGAGTAATCTGAGTATTCCTGTTGGCAAGTCGTACTCGCTTGATGAGGATTTTCACTAGGATAGCCTTGTTGAACACATGCATTTCTTACATTCAATTTCAATTTCGAATCTGTTAATATTGAATCATATGCCAAATGATGTTCTCTTTAAGAAAATACGCAATTTATACCTACGAGACAACAAGAGAAAAGCAATAGATCGACCAAAATTAAATATCCATCGATTATGCACTGTCTTTCCTAGACTTGAACGTTTGAATATGGAATTACCATCTTCTCATGATTTATTTTTTTTGATTGATCGATTAAAATATTTATCAATTGCAAAATTTGAATTTAATTAATCATCATCAGTGATATGTGATTGGCTTATTAAGAATTGTCGACGTCTGAAGACGAATAATAATTTTACATTTAAATTCATTAATAATCAGATACATTTATGGATGAATAATGAAAACGTGTATAGACTTTTTGTAACGAATTCTTCGAAAAGGAAATTTTTCGCTAAGAAATAAAGAGAACACGATATAATCATTACGTGCAGAAATTAGTCTTATCTTTATTCGCTATGTTCATTAAATATCTTTCTTTTATAGTTATCCAACAACGAACAAGGATTGAAATAGTATTCGTCACTATCGTGTACATTACAATAGATCATATTTTAACGTTGACGTATGTTTAAAACATATTTCATTATCAAAAAACAAATGGCAATTAAAACGATTTTGTTTTTGCATCGAATATTTATGAAACAGTATGACAGAAAGAAAAGAAAAAACAAATCAGAATATAAGTCTTAGGAGCCACTCAATTTATTTTATCAAAGAAGGAAAAGTAAAGCTGATAATGTTGTGGATTGACAAGTAATCCATTAAAAATATTAGTCGTTTCAGTTGACTAAAATGGTATCATGTTGCATCATTTATAAAGGTGTTCGTAATAACGACCAATTTTTCATATTGTATCATCTAGGTGTATGAAGACGCTTGCATCTGATCTTGTGTGATTGTGCATTTTTTTAAAATCGTCAATACTCACTTAAACTAAGAGCAAAATTAATTACCATCAAAACCCAGAGTTTTAGTATTCCTGCATAGTTTTCTACAATACTTCAATCATCGCTAAATGATGTACAAAAAAAATGAATAATTGCACTGACGACAGCTTCCAGAAACAGATTGTCTTCATAAGCAACGAACATTTTTCGCTTCATAATTGATGTTCTAAGAACAAAAAAAATCCTAATTTACATCAGATTTTTATTCAAATGATATCAGAACAACATTAAAGTCACAATAAAGGAAAATAGTGATAAACATCTTTCGAATAAACTATGCGATGTTTAACAATTAATCGCTTCACTTTAGCACAATTACATCGCGTTTCATTTCTTGTAAAGTTTTTTGTCACCATTTCCAAATCTTCATAACGGATTTTTAATTCCGTTAAACGAGGTAGATGTGTTTTTGTTTCATTGAGAAAATGTTCAGCATAATAACTATTTGCAGAATAGACATCAAGTGAAATAAGGTGAGGATATTCAATAATTGAGCACCAATCAATATGGTAACGATGATATTCGTGAGATCTCCAGTTTGGTGCTAGAACAGTGTCAATAGATAAACTTTTAAGAAATGGAAAACCACGAGCAACTCGAATGAAAAATTCGTGTTTGAATGGATATTTATCGCGTAATTTCAAATGACTAACAGAATTGAATACAATATTTGGAATATTATTTGTGATATTTTCAAGACGATCAAATTTAAATGGAAGTGAAAAGACGCGACAAACCAATTTCATACAACTGTAATCATCTATCAAACAAGCCATCTGTCGATGTTTTATATTGGTGAAAGTTCGTTCAATATCTGAATTAGATATATGAATAGCTGGATCAACAATGGCATTCTCAGAAGCGAAATAAAATGAGAATGTACGAAGTCGCGGCATTTGACTAAGAATTTCATTATCAAGATGAGTACCAGAGATGAATGTAGATCCACCCAAGATATGAAGATATAAAGTTAATTCTTCAAGATATGACATTCGACGAAGAAGTGGTAGAATTAAA